TATATAAAGAAACAGGACTTTTTTACATTTTTTGATGAACCACAACAATGGAATCTACCAATATCATTTTAAAGATAAGAACGCAGGTGCTGCTGTGTCGCAAACATAAAATGGTGAAGTAAATTAAGTATTTTCTGTGATGTTCCATTGAAAGTGAAAATAAGACATAAACTAAGAAAGAGAAAAAGAAAAGCCAAACCTTATTCCGTGACTGGATATTTATTATGTCTTGCAATGTAATAAGCATTCTAAATAATTTAAAAATACATAATGCATCTCATAAAATTTTCAACACTAATCATTAGGGAAACCTTTTATTGTCTGCTGAACACAGCATGCAACACATTTTGCGAAAATAAGATGGCCGCTGCTATTCTATCACATTAGCTGGTAAACTAATCCTTAAGTGTGGTTAGGTTTAAAACGTCCTCTCGAGGTCTACCACAGAGTTGGGCTTTTGCTTTCTGTGTGTTCCACATCATTCTTTGGCAGACAGGTGACCTTTGTAAGACAGGACCTCACCGCACTGTTTGGATTAAAGCCAGCAGTGTGGCGCTCCTGCCAACGGTAAATACCGCAAGTGTGATCCTTGAGTTGTGAAGCCTGTTGTCCACTGAGGCAGAAGAAGAAGAAAATGCCTCGGTTGTCTATCAGACGTCACTTGTTGGAGTCAAACTGTGCAATAGTTTGAGCAAAGCAACTTAAATTCAAGCATGAACTTAGAAAAATAAAAGCAGCTGGATTAGTAATCAAATACTAAGACAAAGACTGGCACACAAAAAAATAAACTCATACATTTCATTTAGTCCCATTAGCCTTTCACACCATTCCCAGACAGTAAACGGCACTATTAATTATTCATATTTTACACCCATCAACTTCTAAAGACAATGCATCCCTCGACTGCACTTTTAAGCCACAGAAAAACGATATACCTTCACAGTTCCACTGTAAATACAAACCTAATATGGCATAAGCAAATGCTGAGTTAATGGTGCCTTGAAGTCCAACTAAAAGCTTCAGCAACATGGCCTTCAGGGAAGTGAGAAGTGGACGTGTTCTTTTCCAAAGGACCTCTGCACTCCTCCAAATTTCTTTCTAATTAAGATAAGGCGGAGTTGGAGTAAGTCCACTTCAAAGAGGCCCAAAGAAAAACACCAGAGTTAATCTTCACCTAGGCCTCAAAGCACTGAGAGAAATTTTAGTGAAAATGATCCAAATCTCTGGTGCTCGAGTCTTTTCATTGAGGTGCAAATTACTGAAAAATGCTAAAGGACTTTTACAGTCTAATTTTCATGCCATATCAATTTCTTATCTGCAGAATTCATCATTTAAAAATAAAAACAAATTGCCATCACTCTGTCTTGTTATTACTAAGAAATTACGGTAAAAGTGCTAATTCTTTTACACATAAAGACTAAAAGATGTTTGTAATTTTTAACCACTTTACATCAACAATTTCACAAGTGTGCAAGTTATGAAGCTGTATACGTTCTCTTTATTCACACAGTGGCTGTGTGATGCAGGACAGAAGACAGAGACAGGCAAAAGAATGTGGGTGTGCCAACTTGGTGCCCTCCGTCTCCTCCCCGCATACATGTTGCAGTCTGGCCTTATTTGGGTACCGTTAAGCGCTGTGGAGCTGCAGTGCCCCATGGACCCCCTCATCTGTTAGCTCATCCTGGCAGACAGACAGGCGGCCCTTGGCCCACAGAGACAGCGAAACACTGCTTAGCAAGGATAAACCAGGACTAACCTGTGAGTACTGATCAAGTGGAACAGTACATCTAAAAATACACACTGGCTGTTGAAATGTTTTTTCCATCTGTCTGACATCTTAAAATGTGAAGGAACTTTTATATAAATAAACAACTGAACTAACAGAATAATTTGTTGTTGATATCATGGGAAATTTAAAAAAATGTACATGAAATAGCACATAAATCTGAATGAAAATTTGCATTGTTTTCAGTGAATAACAATAGCTGTGTTTCCATTGCAAATGTGCGCAAAATATTGTCGATATTCTGTTAATGTCGAAAAACACAGTTTCGCAACTGCGGTGTTTCCATTAAGTAAGAAATGCTATTAAAGTCACGCGTGAATATGTTTGTTCTCGCGATAAGTCATTACAAACATGATGGCAATGCATGTAAACACATAGCATATTGCTACCATGACACTAGCGCTC